ACAAATGTACTTTACACAATTGATGGATGTATGGATTGTGATAAGAGTTGTATAAACCCCCACTAAAATGATTTAAAAAAATACTAATATTTAAAATGCTTGATACATGGATGTATGTATTGATTGTGATAAGAGCTGCAAGAACACCCAATAAAATGATTGAAGAAAAACAAAACAAAAAAGAAAATCCTTTAGTCCAAATATTACATTCTCATTTATGTCCCCGAGAATAAGAATAAGATGAGCTAGAACCTACAGACAGTACGCACCATGGCTTCCTATGAATCTCCAAAGTCTATACAAGCCATAGCTACCATCTGCCCCTCATTTCATTTAGGGTAGATGGTTTTTTCAGGTAAAGAACTTTTCCCACTCTATTCTCTCTCTCTCTCCTGGAAAGGATCATCTTTTATAGCCAGCATAGAGGAGAAAGTAGTGATCCTTCTTGCCATGAAAATAAGAACCACTTGCAAAGCCAACACTGATTCGTAGTCAGTGAGTTGACTTTGAGCATAGGGACACTGTCATCAAAGCCAGATCTTACAATCCCAACTCCTTGGTGGTCATGCTGGGAACACACTTCTCCCATAGTTCCAGCAAAATACAAGAGCTAGACCCAGTGCTGCATTTGATGGCTGCCCACTGCCCCTAGAGTACAGGGATCTGCTCAACATCTCAGGAAATTAGCACCTCCCTGACGTGGACCTTTTTTAGTACATCATCCAATATGCTACCATACAGGCTTACCAGACCCAAGCAGCATATAACACTGAGAAACCAAAGTCTCACCGAGATATCACTGATGGTAATGGCAGAGATGGCCTCCCGGTGAGCAGGCAGACGGGTGACATGATTGAGGTAGTCCAGGTCCCACAAGATGCAGGTACGGTCCTGGGAGCCACTCACTAAGAGGCTAAAGGTGGCTGATGCTGCTAGACATGTGACAGTCTTGGTGTGTCCATATAAGGCCTGGGGGCAGGAAACACCAGTTATAAGAAGGGTACTTTAATTCAGCAACTTGTGGCGATAACCTACCCTTCCTTTTACCACTGAGTCCTAGATGAGAAGGGATTAGAGATACTCAATCATTCCAGTTTGTGGTCATGTATGTATGTGTGTTTGTTCATGTCTAACATGTCCAGGAGCTAATGCCCAGCTAGGTAAGAATAATCTTTAGTTCTCTTTACCAGAGTCCAAGCTGAGACCAACATCCTCCTTAATCTTTTTACCCTCCTCATTTGTCTTGCCACCATCAGCCTGTCAGTTTGTTGTACTGAGGTGACCTGCCTGTTGGAATGATGCTAGCAGTTATACCACTAGTATTCCAAAAGGATCTGAATCATGTATAGTGGACAGTTTTCATCAGAGCTTCCAGAATAAGACAGAAAAGGAAGAAAGGGATCATGATCTACTTCCATAAATTAGTCAATAAAAAACACTAATTTTACAAAAAGCATAACAGAATATCATTCACAATGTAATAGTGCTAGAAGATGATGGTTCAAGATTTCACTGGGTTATCCATAAGTAGCCATGAGTAGGAGGCAACTTGATATTGTTGGTAGGTTCCATTGAGTCTGCTCCAACTCACAGCGACCCGATGTACAACAGGATGAAACACTGTTCCGTCCTCACAATTGTTCTTATGTTGCAGCACATTGTTGCCGTCACTGTGTCCATCCATCTTGTCAAGGATCTTCCTTTTTTTCCTGCCTCTCCACTTTACCAAGCATGATGCCCTTCTCCAGAGATTGGTTTCTCCTGGTAACATGTCCAGAATACATGAGAAGTCTTGTCATTCTTGCATCTAATAAGCCTTCTGAATGTACTTCTATCAAGACAGATGTGTTTGTTCTTTTGGTCATCAATGGTACTTGTGTTAGTCTGGGTTGACCAGAGAAACAAATTCAGAGACACTCATATGTGTATGAGAAAGAGCTTTATTATAAGAGCAATTGAATATTGAGAAAATGTTCCAGCCCAGTCCAGATCAAGTCCATAAGTCCGATATTAGCCCATATGTCTGATACTAATCTATAAATTCCTCTTCAGATTCATGAAACACATGCAATGATGCCAAATGCAGGGAGATCACAGGCCAGTGGGTGGGAAGTCTTGTGGATCCAGTGGTGGTGGAAGCATCTCAGTGCTGGGGTGGGTCTCCACGTGGCTCTTCCAGTTCCAGGGCTCTAGCATAGCTCTGTGTCTTGTCATCAGTAATACAAAGCAGAGACTGTTTCCCCACCTCCATGGAGGAATACAGGAGTTCCCAGAATCCTCAGGAGAAGGCCATGCCAGTATGGAGACCTCATTGGCTATGGCCTGATTGATAGGCTAGACTCCACCTCTTTGCAAGTTGACAGGAGATTATGTAACTGCCACAGTACTTTTTCAATATTCTTTGCCAGTACCATAATTCAAATGCACTTATTTTTCTTCTTTTTCAATGCACAACTTTCACATGAATATGAGGCAATTGAAAATACCATGACTTGGGTCAGGCGCACCTAAGTCCTCAAAGCAAAATCTTTTGTCTCAACACCTTAAAGAGGTCTTTTACAGCGTATTTACCCAATGCAAAGTGTCCTTTGATCTCTTGACTGCTGTATCCATTAATATTTATTGTGCATCCAAGTGTGTTAGACAGGGTTCTCTAAAGAAACAATACCAAGACACTTATGATTTTATCTATCTATCTATCATCTATCTAGATATATGTAACATGAAGAAATAAACAGCTAATTGTTATACAGAGCAGCACAGAGTGCTCAGTTCAACTCACTTCCGTGAGACAGTTAATGTACTGGCAGTCCTTCAACTCACGAGGGCTGCTGGGTGCAAATCAAGAAGCAGACAGCTGAGTCTTCTGTAGAGCAATACAGGCAGTCCGACCACAGGTAGCAAACAGCAGGGCAAGTCATCAACAGTCAGCCAGACAACAGGGTCCGACACATTCTAGCTCAAGTGATGTATACACCAGCAGTGTGGCAAAGCAGGTCTCAAAGAAACCTCAAACTATAGCAACACGGTCCATGGGTTGGTTGTCCCCCAGATAGTAGTGTAGCTCACAAGTTGATGCAGAGAACTAGCTAAAGCAGCTGCACACTGGTCCAATCATCAAAGAGCAAGAGACAAAAAGGTGAGGCTCACCAAGCCATTTATCTCTTGGCTCTTCAATTAAACTACAACCTTATTAGTCCCACATGTGTTCATTGGCCATGTTGGCATAACAAACCTACCTATCACACCAAGCAAGAAATAATCATTGACAACTTCAACCTGTTTATTTTCTCTCATTTATCATGATGTTACCTATGGGTCCTTCATTTTGTTGTGTGGATTTTTATTTTCTTTACGTTGAGTTGTAATCCATCGTGAAGACTGTAATCCTTAAAGTTCATCAGCAAGTGCTTCAAGTCCTCACTGTCAGCAAGCAAACTTAATGGCAACTAGTAACAATTCCTTCATTGATTCCCTTTGACTTTCAAGAAGGTAGGAGACTGGTATAGGCTGAGACTATAGTTTCTGACTAATCTGAAGGTTCTTAGATGGGCAGTGCCTATGCCACAAGCTGGTATGTTCATTCCTGGCAGCCTCCTTTAAAAGGAACAGGGAAGACTTAGTTGCATTAATAGATAGTATTTTCACACAGAATATCTCTCTCTGCATCCCCGTGCCCTGTGCCTCATCACCTCCCCTGCCTGGGAGCCACCTTGTTTTTTGTGGTCAGAACTGAATCCTCAGTTCTGGGAAGTTCCTTCTGAGAAGAGAATTTGAAAGCACCTGTCAAATCCTCTGCTTCCACCATTTTATGCAGACAGCTTTTATTTTCCAAACACGTATCAAATCTTCTTTCTTGGGTCAGCATCGTCTATTTGGTGACACTTCAGGATCCATCAAGGACAAGCTAGAGTTCACGGCAGAACTATTAATTGCTATGACTGACTAACGTGACAGCTTTGAGAAAATGATGCTCAGCCTCCTGGCCCAAATGAATGAGTAGCTGTGTCTCTCCTGGAGGCAGAGGTTTATTACTATGTGAGCCTGGCTGATTGTGTTTCCCAAAGTTATCTCTGATGACTCCTCCCTGATTTCAGAGCACATTTGTGCACAGAGATCTCAGATTAGTCTCAGCTGATAATCACAGGTGGTTGTAATGGAGACCGTGCTGTTCCTGGCAACAGATACCTTGGGTACCAGTGGGTTTGGCAAGCTTCTCTGTGGATATATCCATAAAGAGATATCCTTCAGCCAAACCTGTACACATAACCATATATAGCCTAGATCATACTCTGCAGAAGCCACACTCTCAGGATCAGGCCTGGGGCTTTAAGTAACTCTGCTACCATGTGACCAGACTAGGTACCAATCTGGGTTCATTGATTTCAAAAATTTAAATATATATATTGTGACCTGATATATCAGATTTATTTGTGGTTTAGTTTCCAGGGGGCTGGTATGTTTCTGGGGTTTTTCTTAATGTAGGAATGTGCTCTTGAGTGTGTACAAGAATTCCCTGGAGTGCTGTGAACACACCATAGCTGAGCCCAAATCCTGAGATTCTGACTCCATAGGCCTTGGGTAGGACCCAAGGAAACATGCTTACCGGGCTCTAATATGACACTGCTGGTCTAGGCACTCACTTGGAGCACTGTGTTGTAGTGCATTAGGAGTCAATGAAAAGTGTTGTTGGTAGTGCCAAGAACAATTGAGCTAGTTCTGACTCATGGCAACCCCATGTACAATGGAATGAAGCGTTACCTAGCCTTACGTGTTCTTCATAGCTACCGGTACACTGGAGTCCATTGTTATGTCACTGGGCATTTTGAGTGCCTTGCACTGTGAGCTACGAACAAAAGGTCAGTAATCCATCAATTGTTCCATTGGAGAACAATGAGGTTTCAGCACCCATAAAGATTTACAACTTTGGAAAAACAAAAGGGGCAGTTCACACTGTCCTATATGGTCACTATGAGTTGGGATTGACTTGTTGTGTGTTTTGGTTTGGGTTTAAAGCAATATATTGAATAATATATTGAACAGTATCTGTTGTGATTCTTTGGGTTTTGAGATGAGGAAGTAATTTTAATTTGTTCTCAACTGGCTCTTTTGTGTTCTTTTTTAGAATAATGCATTTTTACAAGACCTGTAAGATAATGTCATTATGTTGCCTTCCCCCCAAAATACAAAAAATCAAAACCCACTATCATTGAGTTAATTCCATCTCATGGCAATCCTATGCAAAGTTTCTGAGAAGGACAATCTCTACAAAAGCAGATAGCTTCATCTTTATCCCATGGAGTGGGTGGTGAATTTGAACTTCCAACCTTGTGGTTAGCAGCCCAACACCTAACTCATAACACCACTAGGATTCCTAAGTAAAATAGTGAAAAATTAAAATAAAATAAAAACTTCTGAAAATAACTGCTGGCTCTAGTTCCACTGTGGTGAGAATAGTACTCTTAATTGTTAGTGGTATTATAAATATATAGAATAATTTTAGAAATCATTATGCTACTGTTTAGTAATTCTAATAAATAGTTTTTTTATGAAACAATCAGAAGGAAACAACAATCAATATAAGATCTTTTGTGCATCACTATTTATAATAGTTAAAACTTGGAAACAATTTAATTGTCTAGTTTTAGAAGCATTTATTAGACTGTGGTGTATTGATGTATTAAATAATTGAAATGTAATTTTATAGGAATGGAATAATAGAGAACAATTGAAATGTAAATTATGGAAACTAATAAAATAGAGAAAATATGGCAGGCTATGTAAAAATAGCAAAGTAAAAATTTGTATTCCTAAATTATTTCTCCACATCCACCACCATTTAGTATAGAGATTATTCTGTTTTGAAGTAAATTTAAATTTTGTTTGTTTAATATCATTAAAAAGAAAAGACTTTAAAAACTATTTTCAAGCCTATTTCATAATAACTATTCTGATTATAGTCCAGATCCCCATTCAGGGATCATCAAGGCCATATCAAGCTTCATGGGTATATGAAACATGTTTTATTTTTACCTGGAACTCAAAGCATGGAGAACTTTTCAAACCGTCTTCTCTTGAATTGGACTCAGGACAGGATGATAAATTATATTTTATGGCATCGATAAAATAGAGGCTTTTACAGAGCATCTTCAGTTCTGAACAGGGCACAGGGCAGTGGTGGTGATGGGAGTGGGGGAGGGCTTCTCAAGGTTCGGGGAGTCTAAATGGCTGACTACCCTGCCTTAGAGAGGATAAGCTCTTTGAGGAGGTAATACAGATCTCTTTTGAGCCAACTCATGGTGTGCCCCATTTGTGTCAGAGTAGAACTGCGCTTCATAGGGTTTGCCATCTATCATTTTTCAGCAATAGATCTCCATGCCTTCCTTCGGGGAAAAACTCAAACGTCAGTCTTCCAGTTAGCAGCTGAGTGTATTAGCTGTGTACACATGTGAGGGCTCCATTCTCCACTTTACTCACTCCCTGCCATCCAGTAAATTCTAATTCACAGTGACCCTATACTTAGGGTAGGAAGAAATAACACAAGCACAAAGGAACAAGTAACCCTTGAAGGGGTAACAGGTGGCCATCGCTTTCAAAACAGACCTTTTATTCATGTAACTCAGGAGTGCCCACATGCCTGGGGCAACTTGGAGGAGAAAGGAGAGACTCCGAAATTATTCAAAGAAGCTCAGCATCAGTCCAATGAAACATCTTCAGTTTAGAAAAATCTGACCAGTGATGATTTTTTTAAGTTTTATTCTGATTTGGGAGATTACATAGGTAATTAAAAATCAGAAATAAAAATGAATTAAATTTTAGAATAAGAAACATTCTTAAAGTATCCCAGCACAAGTCAAAAATACACAGGCAGAAAGCAAGGAATTTAGAGCTCAAGATCAAGTCTTTCTGAATCTGTCAGAAATCTAGTCAGAAGTGGAGATGACAATGGGAGCTCTGCTGTAGACGTTCCCTGATTCGTGGTGACCCAACACACAACAGAGTGAAACTCTGCCTGGTTTTGTGTCATTCTCATGATAGGTTGTGGATCAGACTTTTGTGATCCCATAAGATTTTCATTGGTTAATTTTTGGAAGTAGAGCATCAAGCTTTCCTGTCAAATCTGTCTTAGTCTAGAAGCAATTCAGCCTCACACCAACACGCAAGCCTCCATATGAAGGAGGTGCTGGGCACGTGGCATGAAACGAATCTCTAGGGATATTCTGGTGCCTTCTAAGGGTTAAGCAAACAATAGGTATTGCTATGGTTATTGCCAAGTGGCGTGGCTCATGAGGTAGGGCAAGAGTGAATTCCTTGCCTCCTGGTCTGTGGTAGTTACATAATCTATTGTTGATTTGAGAGGATTAAGAGTGAAGAGGGTGGAGTTTAGCCTGTCAATCAGGTCACAGCTTGATGACCTCATTTGGAGAAGCTTAGAAGATAAATAGTTCACTGGAGGCACGGGACACAGGTGCACTCTCTGAAAGACTCTCTACTGACAAGCCACATGGAGCTATGCTGATGGCAGCCAGAGCCCTAGAGCTGGAGGAGCCACATGGAGACCCACACCAGCGCTGAGATGCTTCCACTGCAACTGGACCCACAAGACTTTCCACCCACTGGCCTGTGAGCTCCCTGCATTTGGTGTCATTGCAAGTGTTTCATCAGTCTGAAGAGGACTTTATAGATTGTTATCAGACATATGGGCTAATATCGGAATTATGGACTTGATCTGGACTGGGCTGGGATGTTTTCTCAATATTCAATTGCTCTTATATATAAGGCTTTTTTTTTTATACACATGAGTGTCTATGAATTTGTTTCTTTAGTCTACCCAGACTAACACATGATCTTTCATCTGTTCTGTTGTTATATACCTAGTTATGCTCCGAGTCTTTAATTTTCTGTTGTATGATCTTTGATGAGTAATTTACCTCCTTGTGTCTTCCTTATTTATAAAACTTCAACAACCTTACTGCCGTCATGTTAGCGCAGACTTAATCAACTGAGTGGAATTGCGCTTGGGGGTTTCTGAGACTGTAATGCTCTACGGGAGTAGAAAGTGTCATCTTTTGCCCCCAGAGCAGCTGGTGGTTTCAAATTGCTGGCCTTGTGGTGAGCAAGCAGAGCACCTCACCTGGAAAACAGGGATACAATTGTGCCTATGTGATCAGGCTGCTGAGAAAGTAAAGAAGCTCTAGTGGTGCTAGGGTGAGTAAGCCCTGCATAGTAAGGGGAGTACCCCCAGTCTTTGTGCCCACCCTCTGCCCCTCAGTTGTCTCCTGTGCTGGAGGGTCATACTTACCTGCTTAAGGTGCAGACCTCTTGCCTGACCTTTGGTCGTGCGGAGATCCCACACACACACCACCGTGCTGACTCCTGACGTGATGACCATTGTTGCAGAGGGGCACACAGCACATAGGCAGCGGCCCCAAGCAGCCAGGTTCTCAAACGTCATCAGGACCTGTGGAGACAGGGGGACTGAGTGCTGGTTCAAGGCTGGTATGAGCCCAGGCTGGGGCAGGACAAAGTGACTGGGGTGAGTGCAGTGACACTTGTTTAGTATTGCTTAATTGAGATGTGCACTGGGTCAGGCCCTGGTGACAGAACCAACATCTGTGGAGACAGCTCTTAGGAGAAGGTAGCCCTAATTCCTGTATTGATGGCTACCTCCTAAAGATGACAGTGACGATGTGGGAGGGAGGGGAAGCATGGTGGGTCGTGACTGAATCCAATGTGAGAAAGTGGTGAGAGGAAGGAGGTGTGAGAGGAAGGAGGTATGAGAGAAGCTGGAAGGAGGGGACTGTATCAAACAAGCAGCCATGTAGGGGTGGGGTGGAAAAGTATCAAGAGAGCTGACCCTTGCCATCTTACAGAAAGCTCATCATCTGTTCTCTAAGCCAGGTCTGGGCAGGAGAAATCCCCATGATGTACCCGAGGATCCTAGACTGACTGCCTGGGCAGGTTAGATATAACTAAGTAACCTGCCAGCAGGGACACCTGCTTTGAACATGGGAGTGTAAACTGTTAACTTGTAGGCATGACTTCTTGAAATAGGACTTTAAGACAAAGACCTTTGCAGGGTCACACGGATGTCTCATGAACAGGCTGGGCACAGCTGCAATGGAGCATGGGGCAACTGTCCCTGTGCTAGGCTGCGGATCCTCTGAGTACTTCTGCCTCCCCCCAGCAGATTATTGGGGTGCTGAGGGCCACTTTTCTCTCTGATGAAGCTCTCACCTTGTCAGAGCCATAGGTGCCCAAGCAGCAGCTGAAGTCATCAAAGCCCCAGCTGAAAGTCCTGTTCCAGAGGTCAGGCATGAGCACCTTATTCTTCTCCACAGCCAAGATGGTCTTTTCCGTGGGGATAATTTGACCGATGGCTCCCTTGGGGGATTCAGAGCCTAGAGAAAAGAGGTACATATCTGTGTCCAGTTAGTATAGTGGAGTTCATGTGTCCAGTGTACCTGCTCTAGCTGGACCCTGACCAGGACAGGGGAGACTTGAGAAGGCAGAACTTGATCAAGCTTTTTTTTATTTCCCCCCCCCCACCCAGCTAGGGACTCATCAGGGTTTTACCTATTGGGCCCTCTTATCCAGGGCTACCTAAGTCCCTCCCAGAGCAGGAGTCAGGCCACCAATGGCTCTTTGTCCCCTTAGAGACTTTGATCCGTGTCTCCTCCATTCACTTGGGCAGACATATTGAGTGTGTAGCCATGCAGCTCCTCAGTGTCTTCTTGGGGATACGAAGAATAGCTTGGGCTGATTACAAGGACAAAAGAACCCTTACAAGACCCAATCATCTGGTCCCTGACCAGGATGGCTGCAAGGGTTTCTTGTGACAGGCAACACTCCTATGTATTCACCCTACTTCATCCTCCAAAAGTCACCATCATAGCTAGGATCCAGGCGCACAGGCTTTGTTATCACCAGCCAAGCCCTTCACGTTGTTGGTGCACCCCATCGATCGAGAGGATGCCTCTTTTCCAAGGCTGCTGTGAGGAGTAGCAGGGCAGGCATGTGGGACACCCAAAACTAACACTGTAGTTTGTTCTCTGCCACATCATACTCTACTGCCATTCGAGTAGGCCAGTCCCACCTCTCAACATGTTTCTGTCTGAAATGAGCCTGTAAGTCACTGAAGACTCCCAGTCCACGTCACTCTTCCTTTCTCCCTTTTTTAGCCACTCAGACCAATATTTAGATCTGAGGAGTAAGGAATCTGGAGGGCTTTTTTGTTTTCATGAAGCAGTTTTTATTGTATGTTTTTAAACTTACTTTTCTCTTGTTAAACCCATCACTTTTTGTGTGCCTATTCCCTCCAACCCCCCAGCTCTCCCTTCTCCCTGCTCCCACTCCTGTCTCTGGCCACCTCATAGTCATCAAAGCCTTGCCCATTAGTGTATCAACCACGTTTTTTCTTTATTTTCCATATAATAATGATGATGTTAGATATTTATCTTTGTAAGATCGACGGAGTTTGCTAAGCACAATGTTATCTTGCTTTGTCCATGTCTTCTGGAGCTTGAGAGGGTTGTCATTGTTTATTATCGACACATGCATCACATTCCATGGTCTGAATGTGAAAAGGCTTGTTTATCTTTCTTCTAGAGTTGGAGTTTTGATGGTTTCTAGGTTTTTGCTATTATGGAAATTTCTGTAATAAACACAGGTGTATATATGAGGAGGTACCCCCCAAAAAACAATTTTTTCAAAGCTATGCAATTAAATTTTTTTACAAAACAATCTTATCACCTTCCAAGTACTCTCCATTACATTTAGTACATTTCTCAAATCTGCGATTCCATTCTTGGAAACATTTTTCAAACTCATCTGTTTTGAATGGCTGAGAGCACCTCCCTCATTTTTTCCCTTCACCTCTTCTATGTCCTTCCATGTCCCTCTGCATTCACAGCAGTGAGGTCAGGTGAGTGAGGTGTGCCGGGCAAGACAGGCATGTTGTTTTTTGCCCTAAACTGGTGCACTGAGATGGTCGCATGAGCAGGTGCATTGTTATGGTGGGGAAACCGGTGGCCCCCACCCCCACCTGTCTGCCATAAATCAGGCCTTTTTTTTTTTGTCACACACTGTTATGCAATCTTTTTAGAACCTCTACAGAGAAAGCTTGATTAACAGTCTGACCTGGTGGAATGAATTCCAAATGCACTATGAGTTGAGATTTTCATTCACTCAAGTTGATGGATGTCCAGAACGAAGTTTGTCATCAATTGACATTTCACCCTTTTTGAAACAAGAAAATCACTTGTACACTTGAGTTTTTCCCATAGTGCTGTCCTTGTAAGTTGTGCTCACCACAACAGTTTCTGCAGCATTTTTACCAAACAGCAAACAAAATTTCACAGTCGCATGCTGTTCTTTTACATTGGCCATCACAAAAAAAGATGTTTGAGTGAAACTGCTTTGATAAAAAAAATCACTGTGACCAGAAAAGAACCTTCCCAGGTGACGCCATTGGGTGCACTAACTCAGAGCGAGTTGCTTGATGTTCATCTAGTGGGAGAAAATGCATCATACAAAAGCTCGCCCAGCAGAACTTTTCTCTGCTTTTTGGGGGTTACATGTTATATCCTTAATTTCTTTTGGGTACATACTCAGTAGAAAGATCCCTGGATCATAAGGTACTTGGATTTTCATTTGTGTCAGGAAGTGCCATACTGATTTCCATAATGGTTCTCTAATTCTACAGTCTCAGGAGTGATGTAAAAGCACTCCTATCTCTCCACCTCCTCTCCAGCATTTGCTATTTTGTTTTATTGAATTTCGCCAAATCTGCCAGTGTGGGGTGATAGCTCATTTTTGTTTTAATTTGCAGTTCTCTTGTTAATGATCATGAATATTTCTTCATATGGTTGTTAACTGCCTGTAGGTTGTCATTGGGAAATTGCCTAATTGTGTCTTATACCTATATTTTTGTATTTGGTTATTTGTATTTTTCTTGTTGAGATGTAGTTTTCTATAGATTTTGGAGATTAACACTTTATCTGATACCTTATTGCTGACTTTCCCCCAGTCTGTGGGTTCTCCATGGACTCTTTTGAGTAAGTCTTTTGTTATGCATAAATATATTGTTAGTAGGTCCCAATTCTTTATTTTGTCTTCTAGAGTATGGATATTTTCTCTTTATGTTTGGTAGTATGTTTATGCCTTGTATTAGGGTCCTTAAGTTTGTCCCTAAATTTTACATTGATGTTCGTAATAATTGTGTGATTTATATTTAGGTTTTTTATCTATCTTGAGTTTGTTTTGTACATGCTGTGAGGTACGGGTCCTTTTTCACTTTTTCCTGGTGAAGATGCAGTTTTTCCAGCACGATTTGTTGAAAAGACGGCCTTTTGTCCATTTAATGTGTTTTGTTTATTTTTATTTTTTTAAATCGTTTTATTAGGGGCTCATCCAACTCTTATCACAATCCATACATACATCAATTGTGTAAAGCACATTTGTACATTCGTTGCCCTCATCATTCTCAAAACATTTGCTCTCCGCTGAAGCCCCTGGCATCAGCTCTTTTTTCCTCTTCCCTTCCCTTCCCGCTTCCCCTCATGAGCCCTTGATAATTTATAAATTATTATTTTGTCATATCTTTTCCTGTCTCCCTTCACCCACTTTTCTGTTGTCTGTCCCCCAGGGAGGAGGTCACATGTAGATCCTTGTAATCGATTCCCTCTTTAAAAAATAGTTACCTGTAGGTACTGGTATTGTTTTAGGGTTTTCAGTTCTAACCCATTGGTCTTCATATCTATCATTGTACTAATACCAGGCTTTTTTTTATTTCCATGATTATATAGTAAGTTTTAAGGTCTGAGAGTGAAAGGGCTACTTTGTTTTTAATTTGTAACAGTGTTTTATTTATCCTAGTTTTATTTCCTTTCCATATAAAGTTGGTAACTCATTTTCCCAAATCTTGGAAAATTGCAGTGGAATTTGCATCAGAATTGCATTTATTTTGTAAAGTAATTTTGGTAACATTGATATTTTTACACTGTTTTGTCTGCCTATCTAGGAACATGGTAACTTGTTCCATTTGTATAAGTTTCTTTCAGTTATTTGAAAGAGTATTTTGTAGTTTTCTTTGTGTAAATCTTTTGTTTCTCTGGTAAGATTGATTCCTAAATATTTTAGCTTTGTGTAATTATTGTGAATGATATTGTTCTTTAATTTCTTTTTCAGTGTCATCATCCTTAATACACAAGAATTTAACTGGTTTCTTTATGTTGATCTATTAGCCTGCGACACTGTCAAAAATTTCAATTACTTCGAGCCATTGTTTAATTGAATCTTAATGGTCTTCTATATATATAATATTATGTCCACCTGCAAATAAAGAGATTTTTATTTTTTCTATGCCTATGTGGATGCCCTTAATTTCTTTTTGATGCCATATGACTCTAGCTTAAACTTGCAGAAGTGTATTAAATAAAAGTGGTGATAAGTACAACTTTGCCTAGTTCCCATTCCAAGATGAAATAATTTAAATTTATCTCTATTCAGTGAGATACAAGCTATTGGTTTCACATATATGGCTTTTATTGTGTTGAGAAATTTCCCTACTATAGTTATTTTGTTGAGAGATTTTATCAGGAATGGATGTTGTACTTTATCAAATTCCTTTTCTGCATCGATTAATATAATCATGTGCTTTTTTTCTTTATGTGATGAGTTAAATGGATTGTTTTTCTAATATAAACCATCCTTGCATATTTGATTCTTGCAATGTTCATGATTTTTAAAATTTGTTTTACTTTTTGATGCTTAGTTGGCATCTATATTCATTAGGGATATTGGTCTGTAATTTTCAATTCTGGTGATAGCTTTGCTTGGTTTTGATATCAGAGTTATAGTTGCCTCATAAAATGTGCCTGGTAGTGTATTATCCGTAATCAACCAGGTTGAGGTAAAACACAAATAGTCCAAAAGAAAAAAAAAAGAACTTACTATCTCCCTCCCAATAAATTTGACCTTACACTCTTTAGGACCAACATGTCATCTCCATTTGGTGAGATCTCCCCATGTGGCATCGTCTTCAGAATTCATACCCAGGACCCTGAGAGCCAAACCCACCAAACCTTCTGCCCCAATTGGGTGACTGTTCTAATCTGGTTTGAGGGACATTCCTCTGCTGACCTCCAGCCATTACACAGTCTCTCCAAGCTTTGTGGAAACTAATGAAGCCACGGAACTTATAATAATAATATAAAAAGACAAAAAGACTGACAAACAACAATGTTTACAGAGTGCTAACCACGTGCTGAGTGCTAATTATGAATTATCTCATTTTGCACTGCCCTTGTGTCCACAGGCTCACAAAGGCTCAGAGACTTGCCTGAGGTCTCACATCTCAGCCACAGCAGGACTGGAACTCATGCGTGGGCTGTCTGGGTCAGAGCGCATGATTGTCCAGCAGAAGGCTAAGCAGCCCCGGGGGCCAGAGATAGCTCTTAGGTGCAGAAGTGGATCCTTTTCCAGGAAATGTATTGTTGTTAGTTGGCGTTCTGTCACTTCGAACTCATAGAGACTCAATGTACAACAGAACAAAACACTGCCTCGTCCTGCGCCATCTTCAGATGTGTTCTTATGTGTGAGCCCACTGCTGCAGCCCCTGTGTTAGTCCATCTGGTCGAGGCTTTTACTGTTTTTCTCTGTCCCTCTACTTTACCAAGCATGATGTCCTTTTCCAGGAAACTGGTCTCTTCTGATGCATTTCCAAAGTATGCCAGACAAGGCCTCACTATCCTGGCCTCTAATGAGCATCCTGGCTGTCTTCAAGACAAATTTGTTTGTTCTTTTGGCAAACCATAGTATTTTCAATATTCTTCACCAGCACTATTATTCAAATGCATTGATGTTTCTTTGGTCTTCCTTATACAATGTCAAAATTTCACATGCATATGAGGCAGCATTTTTTTTTATCATTTTATTTAAGAGCTCATACAACTCTTATCACAATCCATCTATACATCAATTGTGTAAAGCGCATTTGTACATTCATTGCCCTCATCATTCTCAAAACATTTTCTCTCCACTTAAGCCCCCGGCATTAGGTCCTCATTTTTCCCCTCCCTCCTTGCTCCCCCCTCCCTCATGAGCCCTTGATAGTTTATAAATTGTTATTTTGTCATATCTTGCCTAGGTTTCTCTTCATTTCTATAATAATTTGATAAGTATATTTTGATGGTCTTTCATTTGGTGCATATATATTGCTTATAGTTTCTTGTTCAATTAAAGCTTTCATAATTAGTGATCTTCTTTGTCTCTCATTATGTCATAACATTTGATGTTGATTTTGTCTGAGATTAATATTGGTACTCCAGCTTTCTTTTGACTTCTGTTGGCTTGATACATTTTTCCCATCCTTTCATATTGATCTTTTCTTTATCTCCTGTCTTTTTAATGACCTTGTGCTTTCTTCAGGTGTGATGTTCTCGATGTCCTCCCACAGCTTGTCAGGTCTTCTGTCACTAGAGTTCAATGCGGCACTTCTTGTTCTCAAAATTCAGGTGGGTTATATTCAAGGTCATAGCTTGGCTCTTGCCTTGTTTTCATTTTCTTCAATTTTAGCTGGAACTTACATATGAGTAATGTGTGGTTTGTTTCACAGTCAGCTGCTGGCCTCGCTTTACTTGCTGACATTGAGCTTATCCATTGTCTCTTTCTACAGATGTAGTTAGCCTGATTTCTGTATATTCCTTTTGGAGAAGTCTACACCTTTTGTGTTGTTGGAAAAAGATATCTGAAATGAGATCATTATTCTTGCAAGATTCTATCCTGTGATTTCCAGCTTCTTTTCTATCACTGACAAGACTATATTTTCCAACTACTATTCCTTCCTCTTCATTTATGACTTTTGCATTCCAATTATCAATAACTGTCCATGCATCGTGATTGCATGTTTGAACAAATTCAGACTGTAGGTAAAATTCTTCAATTTCTGCATCACTAGCTTTAGGAGTTGGTGCATAAATTTAAGTAATAGTTATAGTGACTGGATTTCCTTGTATGTGAATATGACATTATCCTATTGGATTTCCTTGTTTGTGAATAGATATTATCCTATCACTAACAACATTGTACTTCAACAGACCTTGAACTGTCATTTTAGATGATGGATGTGATCCTATTCTTGAATCTGTCATTCCTAGCAGAGTAAACCATCTGATTTTCTGATACAAAATGGCCACTATCAATTCATTTCATATCACTAAAGCCTAGAATATTGATCTTTATGCCGTCCACATTTTTTTACAATCTCAATTTTCCTATATTCATACTTAGTTCATTCTTATTTCCAATTATTAATAGATGTTTGCAGCTAATTTTTATCTTATTGAGTCATTCCTCATCAGCAAATAGAGGTCCTGAAGTCTTTTCTCCCACGGAATATACTCCAGCTATATAATTATGGCCCAATTTGCTTTGAGAGGCAGCTCTTCCTCAGTCATATTTTGAGTGCCTTCCTATAAATAGTTACAGTCCCCAAATGCAGAGGGGTTGCTGAGTCAGCGTTGTCTCGAGGGCAGTGGATGTGTCTTGGTCTTCCACACTGAGGGCATCACCTTCTGGTACTACCTCTGACAGGGTTCTAGTGCTATTCAGAACATTTGCAGGGGGAATTCTTCTGAAGTGAACAGTTCACTCCTTCTTTGTAGTCTGCTCTTACTCGGAAAACACTGCTGAAACTTGTTCACTTTGACTGATCCTTCTGGTATTTGAAATACTAGTAACATAACTTGCAGCATCACAGCA